CTTTTTCCAGTTTTGGGTAAACCAAACACTCTATGAATTTTTTCCTTTGTGATCTTTATTCTTTTTCCTTTAATCAAAATACTGCTTGTGCCTTCATCATAATGCTTAAGCACAAAATGGCAAAATTTTAAGGGAATACTCTTAATGTTGATCTTCAAAAATACTTTAAATCCCATCCGTTTCACCCAATCTTTTTGTTCTGATGTCAAAGAACTTACAACATCTGTCATCAATCCAGGTGTCGATCTAGTGTTTATTGAAGGCAACTCCTTCAATATATCTTTCACAGTCTTTTGCTCTTTCACGGTTTTTTGTTTCTTTATTGCTGCACGATTGTCCCCACTATTCCTCTTCCTTTTTGCTTCTTTAATCTTTTTCACTCTTTCAACATATTTTCTATCACCGGTTCTCTTTTTTACATAGATTTCTTCATCAGATTCATCATCTAATTCATTACATCAGTCATAGATGTTAGTAACCCTACAAAAATCCAAAAATCATATATCATTTAATTACAAAGTAATAGTCCAAACAGAATATTATAAATATACACTTATTATATCAGAATATTCTATGAAATTTAATCCAAAAATACTATATCATCTAAGTAAAATGTAGATATTTATTCAAATTATATTATTTATAAAAAATTAAGCTCAAATGTTGCAAAATCCTATATCAGCTAAGTAAAACAACAAAAAAATCAAGTATAACATGATTTATGATATAAATATATAGAATGTGTAATATGATCCATAAATATTTCATATCATAGAAACATACTTTCACATCAACAAACAATAGAAAAATATTTTCACATCAAAATACCAAGAATTTCAGTTATAATCCATAAACAATTCATGTCAAACATAATATTGTTCCATAATATTGGAATTGTAAAGTATAAAATCATAATGATGTAAAATGCTTTTGCTAAGTCTAATTGTAAATGCATAATCAATAATAACAAATATGAATTTTACCTATATATGACATTCTTATTATTAGAATAACATTCATACACAAGATATTATAGTACAAATACAATAATTGATGATATACCTTTTTTTCTTTAGCTTTTGCTGTTGTATTGGCTGATTCATCAATAAGCTTCACTGATTTTCTTCTTTCAATTAGTCGTTCGGCTATTGAAGTTTTTTCATGAGTTTTATCTATATACATCCTTCTTGTTGTTTATTGTCATTTTCATAATCAAATTAGGAAATAATAATTGATTTATCATATCCAAATATCTAGAGTAACATTTAAAAATATTCTATTAGAATAAGATTAATAGAACATAGAAAAACATTAATAGAATATAGAATATTTTATTGTAATACATACAATAACATAAACAAATGAGATAAATATTTTATTAGAAAACATTGAATACACAATATAACATTTATTCTTTTATATTCTATTATAATACATAAAATAATTTATTAAAGTATATAGAATAATAGAAACAAATTAGATTAATAATTAAAAATATTCTATTAGAATAGTATTAATAGAATATAGAAAAACAATAATAGAATATAGAATATTTTATTATAATACATAGAATAACATAAATCAATGAGATATATATTTATATTAGAATATATAATTGATGATGTACCTTTTTTTGTTTTTCTTTTGATGTTGTAGTTGTTAATTGATTGATCGACATCGATGATTTTCTATTTTAAACCAACTTTTTCCCTGTTAAAGTTTAAACTTCACTATTTCTACCAAGTGTCATCATTTTTATTTTTGATTTTGTCATTCTTATAATAATATTATCTGCATGAAAATAATTAATGTTAAATACAATTTAACTGTAATCTGTAATAGAAAAACACTTACATTTATTTCAAAATTATATTCTAACCCATCATAATACATACACAAAAAGAAAACAGCATATAAAGATACACATAATAAATTTAAAGCAAATTGACCAATATGCCCCTGCATTGTTTCTTTATGAGATTAAAATTACTCGAATTTTCTATAAACACAGTTACATACATACACATTAAAAACAGAAGCAAATTGATGAATATGTCCATGTACATAGTATTTTTTTTTCCATCGACTTACCCTAGTGATGCTTGACTTAACCATGCATAAAGTTTAAACAATGATTAAAGCTTTGTGTAAAAAAACAGTTAGAAGTTGAATCACATAGTAAGATGTCAAAAGTGGAATGATAACTCTCTATTTTATCAGAAAATGCAGAAAACACATATAATAACTTGATTGTTAATTACACAATTTTGTTTTTGTTTATGTGATGAGTTCTATACTAATTCAGATCAAGTTCTGAATTATTAGAGGACATAATATGAAATTGCTTAATGGAAAAAATTTATTATGCTTATTCAGACCAAGACCACCAAGACCAATACCATGAGAAAGTTTCTTTTCATATGTGCCTTGAAAGCACTTGTGTCTATTTCCTTTTTCACATACACACAAAATCTCAAAAGTAATAAATAAATGTGTTTGGTTGGAATCAAAACTGAATGCCCCTACAAATAGAAGAAAGGCTAAAGCTTTATTTATCATTAATCCAAAGAATCCCACATAAGAATGTATTAAATGTAATATAAGTAGGGTCATATTTTTGTTATAAATACATACTCAAACAACACAAAAACGCTCATATTCTCAGCTGTGAAGCCTTTGTCTCATTGTTTGTGCTAATTATTTCACTAAGAAATAAGAGCCCGATGCCCAAATTATTAGTATGTAGATATGGAGACTGCAGGAACAATAGAAGGTCAATTCTCAAAGCTATATCGTCGTTTTCAAACGGACTTAAGGATATAAATGATAATTAACAGAACTATTGAAATACCTAGAATTTCTTGAGAAGTTCTGGTAATAATGGCATTTAGGTGATCTGATGGTGTAGATTCTGAAGCACGTGTTGATGTAGCCATTTTCGTTGATAAGAAATACTCGATAAGAATGAAATTAAGTAAATTTAGGGTTTTATCGATGTTAGCAAGTGAAAATCGGATTCACAACATCGAAAATTGAAATTGATACAGGGAGATATCGAAGATGACGAGTTCAAGAGCACAAGAAGTTAGGGTTTTGATGGAGTGTTTAAAACCGAAAATGATAAGAAGTTTTGGAAGAGGGTTTTGAGAATACAGATGAAGAAATTGAGTTTTTTTATTTTAATGTTCTTCCATCGTGCATAAGTATAAAATCTCAAAGTTATTACGTTTGTCCCTTTTTTGTCCCTGGAAAATAAGTCCTATTATTTTTAGTCCCTTTTAATTTAAAAACTTACAGTTTGGTTCAAATATTATTTTAATTGTAAAATAAAATTACTTAATTACAAATATTCTAAAGCAAATATTTTCATTTATTATAAAATTTTACGTCTACTGATAGAGACAATGTATTTTTTTTTTTCTAAAGTATACTAAAATTGTATTATCGTAATTTTTTATTATTGTAAGATGATGCTAAATCTAATTTCATTTATTCTTTTTATTAAAATATTGTAAAACAAAATTACATATTATTTTAAAACGTTTTATTATTAAGTATTTTAATGAAACCAGAAAAATCAGAATAATTCACATAAAACAAATTAGAATAAGCTTAATACAATATTAGCAATATGTCTTTTAATCATTTGTCATTTTACCAAACAATTTTTTAATCAAATAAATAAGCATCATCAAACAAAAAGTTTAAACGCTATATATTATTTACTATTAAGCAGTAAATATTTTATCAAGATACCAACTAACTGGTTTAAGCATATCATTTACCAAAATATCAATGGTTTAAGCATATCCTCAAACATAAGCATTTGAAAAAAAAAAAAAATGTTTGTATGTAATAAGCCAATATAAGAAATTTTCTAACTTTCTTCATTTCCAAATTGTCTCTTGCTTCACTGCCTTCTTTCACCAACATACACCTAGTTTTCTTATCAAGTTTTGAAAATTCCAATGCTTCTGCAACATTCAATTTTCTCTGCTTGTTGATTTGATGGTTTGCTAGCTTAGAAACATAAAATGTACGCAACTTTGCAATCTTCTTAGATGTCCTAACACTTTCTTCTCCCAGTTCCACATCCCATTTTTCTTCTTTCTCACCTATGTATTTTTCCATATGTCTCATCAAAAATATACCATCATCATTTGTCTTAGTTTTTGTTTGTCATTCCATTTTCATTTTCTTTTGTTTCATATATTTAAACAAAGAAACCTTATCCCGCCGATTGTTGTCCAAAAACTTTGAAAAGTACATTTGTTGCAATGCATATTAATAAAATACCATTATTTTTCTAAAATGATAACTATATTAAGTAAATAAATCATATAAGAATATAAATATTATATTTTATATTCTAATCAAAATTTATTTACTAATACAGAGTGGTTTTTTAAAGTAAACAATTATGATTAAAATAAAGTTTTTAGATTTATGCAAGAAATATTTACCACAAGTTTAGGAATCTCTCCATAGACATGTTCTACTTTTTTGGTTATATGTTCTGGATTTGTAAGCTTGAAAAGAATACAATAAAAATGACCATGGTTGTGTATTGGAAAAAACATTTGTAGTTCAAAAATAAATATAAATGAATTTTATAAATTTTAATATGAATATGTTATCTTGTAATCAAAAATACATACCAGATTATAGAATTGAAATCCACTTTTCTTTTGATGTCATATAAGTAATTGTTTACAGCCTCATTAAAAAGTTGGGATCTTTCAACAAAAGGTATTAAAGAATCCAATAAATTTTCTATCTGTACATATAGAACAATAGAAATATTATAATACATTGTTACAAATTATAATTAGAATATAGAAAATAAATTTAAAAATTAAGTACCATAATTTGAGTGTTGAAGAAGACACGTGGTGGTGATTTTTTGTTTCTAAGGTTTTCTTCTTCAAAATTAAGAACAACAGCCCAACAATCAATAACGAAAGGATGTATCTTATGATTTGGACGCATACCCTCAAAATGCACCCTATCCATTATGTCTCCAGACTTAGTTTCAAACAGCATTTCCCTTCAAACAAAAATATTGAATTGTAGTTAAAATATTCCAATAAGAATATTACACAATTATGAATTTACTTACATTGGATCTTTGTCTGCAACGCATCTAAACATGATTTGTGCCATTATCTCTTTCTTAGTAGTGACTTTTTCACTTAGGTCAATTACCCTATTCACAAAAGGTGATCTAAAAATATCTGGATTAGTCAGCTTCCTTTTCCCTCTTTCATTCACATTCTGACCCTTTTTCCCTTTCTCATCTAAAATATGTTCTTCATTCCCTTCTAATTCTCCATCTTCATCATTACCCTCAGAATTATCACCAGTTTCTGCATTGTTCATTAGTTGGGTTATGTGACAACCCAAATTTATTTCCGTTACAAAATCCCATCTTCACTAACGGAATTCGTCGATATATGTTATTTTTCCGTAATGTTTGGGGTCACCAATAAATAAATATCTAGTTATTTATATTTCTTGATATTATCATAAGTAATTATAACTTATAAGTGTTAACCCCGTTCAACTAAATAGAGTTAAACTACTTTTCAACCACTTCACCCGGGTAAAAAGTTTTAACCCCGTTAAACTTTAGCATCGGGTAGCCGTGTACCGGGTGCAATACCCGAGGCACATAAAATGAGAGTAAACACCACTTGGACACTCTTTTACCACCCATTCACCCTCTCTCACTACTTTCTTTCTCTAGACCCGAACCCGACTCCAAAACCGCGAATTCCGGCTTCCAAACGTAAGAGTTTCTTCCCTAGCTTGTTCTAAATGTATTTCATTGTATTTAGAACACAAAAATCATATGAAGTAGTGGGAAAAATGGAGTTTACTGCCTAAGAAGCCCCTTAGGCCGTAAACACCTCAAATCTTGGCCAACATTCCATTTTTCCTTCCTTTAAGCTTGTGTACTAATTAAGGGATATACCTAGACGAGTTTGGACACCAAAACATAAGATTTAAGAGCCTAAAAGGGAGTTTACGGCCCAAGCCTATGCTTAGGCCGTAAACACCCATTTTCCATGTTATAAAGTCCCAAAAACTCATCTAGGGCATGTAGGAATTTAACTATGACCCTAGGAAGTGTTTAAGGCCATTAAACATCTCATTTTGAAGCCAAAGGAGGAGTTTACGGCCATGGCTATGCTTGGGCTGTAAACTACCCAATTTCTATGCCAAAATGTCCTAAAAACCCACCTAAGGCCTCCTAGAATTTAACTAAGACTTAAGGAAGTGATTTGGACCATTTAACAATCCATTTTGAGGGACAAAATGGAGTTTACGGACCAAGCACAAGTTTGGACTGTAAACTCCTCCAAATGACACCAAATGAAGGTTTTAACCCCCCAAATTAACCATAGGCATTTACTAGAAATATATGGAGTTCAAATAAGGCCTTAACTTGCACTTTTGGAGGAAAACAAGAGTTTACAGCCAAGCCTAGGGGCTTACGGCCGTAAAATCCCAAGGAGTGGCCTTTGGGCCGTAAACTCCAAGGGAGTGAACTCTTGGACTCCCCCGCAAACCCCTCTTGGCCTTATACCACTCCCGGGAACCCCATCTGAGCCTTAAAATCCCGAAGCGATGCTAAAATGCCTAAATACATTAATGAAAAGCATAAAATGATTAATTTCTTGTAAAATACATATTTCATATGACATTAGGTTCCTAAAAGGTGCACAAGTCGTTATTTGGTACAAAACGCTCAACCGACACTCTCACCCGATTTACCCGATTCACCTGATTTACGCGATTTCAGGTGAGTTCTTACCCCTTAAACGAACCTTCCAAATGTTTTATATGTTTTAGGGGGGGGGGGGTACAAGTTGATTATACATGTTTATAGAAATTTATACAAGACAATTACTCATGTTACGGAAATTAATCACATGTGATTCACTATCCCTAGTTCAAATCACATGTGAATTATTACTATGCCTTATAAATAGATTCTACGTTTTCAAAACTATTTTGGATAAATAATCAAGTTTTTAAATGTTTCTTTTGGACAATACTTTTATTAAACAAATCTTCTTATAAAATGTAACCATGCTAATATAATTATATAAGTAAGACTTGAAGGACTTAGGACCGATATCTCGCCATATTTCTTGTTCTTGTTTGATTGTGGGCTTAGGGTAGGGGTTACCGTCCGACTATCGTTGATTTCTTAGTTATGTATCTTGTATATTAGTATGGGACACGAGTATTTCTCATTTCATTATATGCCTAAATCACTAACATGACAAGAACCATACACACTAAGTTAACTATAATAGGTATAGTTAATGCTACTACTACTACTACTCACTATCGCTATTACTCTGTACACTATAATATGCACTATTACCAGACAATAAACTAGTAAGAGAACACACTATGAACTATACTAAAAGACTACTACACTATAACAAAAGAGAAAGCACTAAACAGACGATATCACACTAACTCACTACGGGATACTCTATTCGCTACCCACTACGCCCAGAGTTTTCCGACAGGAAGACGACGCTATATGTATAGATCTATACGGGGCAGATGCTATTACATCCCGACTATTAACTTCAGTCCGAGCCGCACAGGTCCAAGGATGCCACTACTTCACTACACTGTGCATGACCGGGAAGGTCATGGGGTCCGCTATTACTCACGCTATTAATAACATACAAGAAATACACTATAACCGCACTAAAATACTAAACTAAAGATTAAGTTAATATCCCGAAGTAACCAAGCATCTAACACTAAAGGAAGTTGGTACCACTATCATTGACTTCAGGCATAACTGACTATATTGCATTACTTATTGGAGAGTCACTATTATACTTTTACGATAAATGGTTTTCAAAGATGAAAATGGCATGTTTCTTAAAGGTTTTCACTTACAATGCATTTCTGGAAAATATAAGATTTTCTAGGTTTTACTACTACTTATGACTGTAAATTTCAGCTTTTCATACTATCGGTTCTAATGCTTTATATACGAAAACTCACACTAAACTCTTATGAACTCACCAGCTTTATGCTGATATTCGTTTTCGAAATAACTTGTATCCTCAGGTCAAAGATAGACAGGTACAGGTGCAACATTTTGGAGAAGGTGGAGCATACAAGATCCATCTCGTATATTTGTATTACTTTTGGTGTTTGTTGAACATTACGAAACACACTTGTAACTAAACTCACTATGTAAATGAAATGGTTGTATGTTTCTTGTTTTTACTATTATGCAATTGTGATGATATTGTACATGACGTCCTCCACCCCGAAACGTATTCCGCCATTATCGGTTTTGGGGTGTGACAGATTGGTATCGGAGCATTGTTTATAGTGAATCAAGTATATCAACCTATAAAAGATATACGAACTATAAAGACTTAGGGACTAAAACACTCTGACCAAGAATATATACTGTTAAGCATTTAAAAGATTTCACTAAGTATATATATACACACACCACTATAAAACATAGAAGTTAGTATCACGCTAGAACAAAACAAAAGTATTAAGATTGTTGGATACCACAATTGGGCTTAGAGACATATAGTCACATTAGGGGGGATGTAGCCTGATCAACTACGTTTTCCTGGAAGTGACTAGCATGTGCCTAAGTTTGGTTGTAGTGTTGCAAAAATTCTAAAAACTTACCAACACCATCACAATAACGTTACCATAAGGATACTATAGGATTATTCTGTATATCTAAAACATACGTATGTGAGAACTAAAAAGGGTCGTTACTAATGGAGCAATAGTTGCTAAATGGATACTTTCTGGTTACATGTGACTAAGGCATTATAGACTTAGAATCTGTGATCTTTGCTTTACTTCCTGTTCCTTGTTTGGTTGTGGATTTAAAGTTAGGTTCACTTATTCGACGGACTATCCTGCCCCGGTCACATGTAATTAGTATGCATTATGCAAGTATTGGTCTAACTCGTGACAATCATCTTATAAGTAATTTAGGTTAGTGCGCCTATTAATCTTCTTTTCCCCTTTTCTCGCATAGATATCATGTCTGGATTCCACCTTCCAGGAGACCCGTACTACCCAAAACAGGGAAATCGAGGATAGCTCAGTGAAGAGTCGGACAACGATCACCCAATCCCTCTAGATGACCACCGAGCAGAAGGCTTTTCGGATAACTCCGACTCCGAGCCAGAAGTTAATAACCTACCTCCCGGAGCTCCAAACCCCAACCCCCGTCCGACATTTCGGGGTCCCACTCCTATGTGGGCCATATCCTTGCACCGATGGAGCGAGGAGCAGGGCCATCCCTTGCCTTACAATGGAGATCGAAGCTTCTACAACATAAACGAAGGAGGATCAGCAGACCGAGTTCTACCCATCATGGTCCGAAGGATCGCCAGGAATGTTGAGCAGAGTCAAGCAGCCATTGGTCGAGTTGTAGAAGTGGATGCCAACTCGAATCTCAACACTGCCCACATCTGCCAACTCGAAGAAGACGTGGACAGGACAAGGAGGACCAACGAGGCTCTGCAACATCAGCTAGCTGCATCTCGAGCCGAAGTTAGAGAACTCCGAGCACATCAAAGGATTCATGATCAACACCTTCAAGAAGTTATGAGTCAGCTAGCGGATCTGAGGGTTCGCCCAACAAGTAACCATCGCCAGTAGAAGACGTCTAGTACCCCACTCTTTTGTTTAAAGGACTAGCCTTTCCTCTCGATGTTCTGTAAATCTCTTGTCTGTAAACATTCATAGCTTAAAAGTACTCTAGTTAGACCTCTAAACTGCTAGCATTTTCCCTATGGTTTGATGTAAGACCTACTGTTAGGTCAATTTTTTTCATGAACTTTTGTTGCATCATTAATACCAGTATATTGGCAGTTAACTACCCTATTGCCATGACTCTCATTCTAATCTTGAGTTATGTGATTTAATCCATGAAACACTCTATTCATCCTCGCAATAGACTCTTACTATTGCTATCATTTCTATGGTATTCTAGTGAAAGATGCCTCCGTGAAGGCGTTCAAACAGAGGAAGACCAGCAACTCAAACCTCTCCTCCACCACCACCTCCTCCTCCGCAGTTCGATCCAGTGCTGTTTCAAACGGTTGTGACTGCAGTGGTGACAGCATCCATGGCCCAAATAAACTCAGGTGATGCGAGCGGTGGAAATTCTAGATTTGGTGAAGTCCACCAACGGGTGCAGGGATGTACGTATAAGGATTTCATGAACTGTAAACCTACCTTCTTCGATGGTACCGGAGGAATTCTGGCATTGTCCCAATGGTTCGAAAGAACCGAAGCAGTATTTGAAATGTGCTCTTGCCCCGAAGAGAGTAAAATCAAGTTCGCTACTGCTA